TGGCGTCCATCGTTCCCTTGGTGTTCACCTCAGCTTCGTCCGCAGCCTCTCCATGGACAAGTGGAAGGTGCGTGGCGGGTGTTGCATGCAAACGCCCTCTTCTCTTCGCCTTGACGCACACGCACCGCACGGTTGAGTTGGACTCGCGCGCGCATCTTCCCAACTCATCATTACCTGTCTCTCCTTTGCTTCAACGCCAGGATGAGGAGCTCGAACGCATGAAGATTGGTGGGAACAAGCGATTACAGGAATGGTTCGATGCACGCGACGTACCTCGCAGTAAGGGCACATCAATGGACCACACACAGGCGTGTATGTTCGTGTGTGTGTGTGTGTGTGTGTTCGTGTGTGGACGTCATTCTTCCCTGCATCTCTCTCTGTCTCTCTGTCCGTTTCTCTCTGCCTCTATACATCTCTCTCTCTCACTCACACACACACACTCTCTCTCTCTCTGCCTCTGCCTCTCTACAAATTCGCCTTGTGCATCTCCGCCCGAAGGCGCCACCATGCAAGAGAAGTACAACACGAAAGCTGCAGGTGAGATTATCATACTCCCATGTGCATGTGAATTCTGCGCAACGCGTCCCCCTTTGGACCTTTGATCGCATTGCACCATCAACACTCACCGCTTTTCAACGCACGCACGAACGCACACGCACATGTGCCAACACACGCACGCACATACACGCACGTGTGCCAACACACATCCATGCACACACGTTCACGTCCCCGTGCTGACAGCACTCTACCGCGACATGATTGCAACGGAGGCGCGAGGGGACAAATGGAACGAGGCCACGAGCCCAGCTCAATCTTGGGTCCCTCCAGCGTAAGCATAGCGTGTCGAGTGTCTGTGTGTCTGTGTGTCCGTGCGTGTGTCTGTGTCTGTGTGGTTGTGACAGTGCCTGTGTCTGCCTTGTTTCTGCCTATGCGCGGCTGCGATGCGTGCAATGCCGTTGCTTTGTGCTTGCCCCGCGCTCACGCCCGCGCGTGCTTCTGGCGGACTGCACGCCTGCGACAGGACGCAATCGATCACAAACGCTCGATCAGAGTACGAGGTTGCAAACGAGGTGCGTTGTGCCCTCAACGATGTGGCATGGAATACCAAAATGTCACTCGCACAACCACTGCTTTTCCTCTTTCTCCTTGTCCTACTCCCGCTCCATGTTCTCTCCTCACCCAAACCACCTCACCTCCCTTTGGCTCACGCCGCCTGACTCCTCTCTGCTCTCAGGACACGAGGCCGATGCGCGGCTTTGGGTCGTCCGGTGCACACACATCGTCGTCGTCATCGCAGGACATACAGGCAGACAAGCTGCTGGAGGACGCCATGAGCAGTCTCAGGACGGGCTGGTCCGTCTTCTCAAAGGGTGTGTGTATGGGTGTGTGTGTGTGTGTGCGTGTGTCTGTCTGTGTCTGTCTGTTGTTTGCGTGTGTGTGCATGTGTGCAAAAAGAGGAGAGAAACCTTACAACTCGAGTGCGCTGGTGCAAGTGTGACTGACATGCGCTCAATGTGTTGTTTGGCTCAACCATGTTCAGGTGCGGCCCAGTTTGCTTCCTCTGTCAACGACACCGTATCAACCAACATCGGAGAAGGGTTGCCAGAA